TGTGGTCTGTTGTTATGGTCTGAGCTGACATAGCCATGATTGAAGGTAAGATCCAAAACCTGCTTAATGATTAGTCCATGTAATTGATAGTCATTAGACTGACATGATGACATACATGGCATAATTGTATTCCAACAGTATGAATCTCTGCTAGAGTGACATCATGCACGTTCAGCTTCCTCTCCCCCTTGCATGGCTTTTCTGTGTATACTTTTACATTTAGTTATTGTTGTTTAATTTTGCATTATTTTTATGTTTCAATAAATCACGGAAACATGTTATGGAAAAAAACTTTGCCATAGAATTGGGCTTACCCTTTGTCACATTGCTTATTTTTATGATCCCAGTGTCATTGTGAGCACAATAAAGTTCCCTAGAATTCTGTGAGTAGGATTGGCCCATTTTTCTTTACCTTGCCTTGATCTATGGAAACCATAGTTACTAAGAAAGGGTTCTAGTTACAGCAAATTTACCTCTTGGCCAGATTGTTTGATGTGTTTTTTGTTTTTCCAGAAGGAAAAAGCTGACCTTGAAAAAAATCCATTCAATCTCACTTTTACTTTTTTGGCTACAGTTGAAAAAGAGCTAGTCAATGAATAGACATAGGCAAGAATGTATCTTTCATGCTCTTTTCAGTGAATAAAACTGTCCTTTATGGGACCAAATCCATGGGTTGGGGTGTATTATCACTGGGCCTTGAGGAGGAGAGCTAACTAGCCCAAGAGAATAAATTGGGAGATGTCATTAATTGAAGGGAATAAAGCAAATGCATGTCTAGACGTAAGTTAATGTATTACATCCCTAGGCAGAAATTGGAATATGTGCTTTTTCAGATGTAACATTTTAATTGGCCTACCTGATAGAAGGTTAAATAAAATGTACACTAAACCTCATTACTACTCAATTGTCAAATACCTTCCCTGCAACAGAACTAAAACGAGCAGAGTGAGTGGGTGCAACCTGGAATTATGAGAGAACTAAAAGTTGTCTTTAGCAACACTTTGCAACACAGAATTTTAAGTGATCCCATTAGGCCAACTACACTCTTGCTATTTTATCCAGGAGTTTTAAGTGCAGAGTTGGGTATTTGAAAATTCCCTTTCCATATAATAATCTATTTAAAATGCCCTCCTGGAAATTATCTGTGATAGTACATTTCTAATAAAATGTCACTGTTGAATGAAACCTAACCACCTGGCAAGAAAATAAAATACTACATCTTAGCATAATGTTTGCAAATTTTTCTGGTATGAAATGGTTCCAAAAATAAGAGATTGTCTCTCTCTCTCTCTCTCTCTCTCTCTCTCTCT